ACAAGCAGATTTCCGCCGCCTACGTAGCTAGCTAGCTAGCTAGCTACCTAGTTATTCCGATTATCCGTCCGCCCGTATGCACAACGAATAGCTTTCGAAACCGCCGTTGTTTGCCTCAGTATGCGAAGGTTCACTTGCTGCGTGATTAGCCTAACTGTAGTTGCTGCTCCGAGCAACATGCTCGATAGAGCATTGAGGTGAAAAGCAGCGAATCTATGCAGAACTATCAGAGTGTGAACTTTACATTCTGAGGCCTTCCACCTCGCATGGCGGTTGCGGTTTTCCTTCCAACTTGTTATTATGATCCTACTCTTGTTTGTCCGTGAATATCATCATTTATCCGTGTACATCTCTGCTAGGCAGACGAAGGGTATGTTGGTGCAGAAAGCTGCACTAGATACTGAAACAAAGAAATTCATATCGAAAGACTTGAATTGATATCTGAAATCACTTAATATCTAAAGAATCTCAGAAGCCATACAACAGAAAGACCACGAAAACGAAAATTAAGAATATGAATAACTGCATAGCCATTTGCGATTTGCCGTTAGTGTCACGTTAGTATCCCCCAAAATTAATATAATTATTTGTATATTGATTTGTTTATTTGAATATTCAGCACAACTCAACCAGCGTTCCTTGTTTTTCAGTCGAAAAAAAGCACAGCACAGCCACAGAAGAGATGCGCAGCCAGAGAGACACGGTGAATACAATAATATTGACAAACAATGATGTATTAATAGTTTATAGAGATGCGAAAACAAACAGATAAAAGCAAACACATATAACGAGACAAATGCACGCTTTTCATAGGGTTACCACCTTAGAAATAGATATTGCAGATGTAAACACAGTCGGAGGATAACTTTATACGGTTTATGCTGCTTCTTGAAAGACCAAATAGATCAGATTCCAGCAGTACTGCTTTCCATAACACTCTTCGGCTTCACCGATTTATTTTAACTTCTTCAGTTTTTCCGCAGAAGGATTGCTTGAAGGGGCAGTAATGCCAGCTTGTGTGAAAACAGCTGAAGCTACAACAATAGGAACATACAAGTGTTATATATATGTGCTGCTCTATATATATATATATATATATATATATATATATATATATATATATAGTGTTGTGCTAATACAGTGTGTTTAAGCTGCCCAAGAATGGATTTCAAGACTTCAGGAATAATCTCTCTCTCTCTCTCTCTCTCTCTCTCT